TATATATATATATATCAACATAGAACAGATTTTTTCTGATTATGCCAAGCTGTAAAATATTTTATCGGCCTTAATCCTCATCCAGTAACTCATGATCAATTGGAAAAGTCATGGGACCTTTGAATATTGCTGTGACCAATGGGGCCTTTGAGTCAAAACTGTTGAGAATCACCTTAAAGCAATCCATTCAGCTGGGGGAATTGACACATCACTAGTTTATTACTTACGGTAAATCAACCCTAACGCTAATGTGAACGCTAGGTACATTTAAAATTACTTTATCTACATAAGTTTTAGAAGAGGAAGTTGATCACTTTTAGTTTTAGGATTCATAGCTCTTCTAGGTTTAGTTCTTTCTGTTGGTGTGTGTGCTTGAAATCTGTGATCGGTTTAGCTTATCTCTATGGTAATCTAGTCATGGCTGTGCTCATTTTAAGACTAAATGTCAAGCATATGACTGCTCTAAAGACAACATAAAATACATTTACCTCTGATGGCCTCAGAAAGTGCGTAGGCACAAATATAATAGGCCTACTTTAGACATCACGAAGTGAGGAATTGATTTGAGAATTGGATCTCCTCAGTGGCTTCACATCATTCACAGTGTCCCAGAGGGGAAGGAGGGACGTCTGTGGTTTGGTAAAAATCTTTTTGATTTAACAACACCGTGACCGTCTGTTTTAATATGCTGTGCTGATGCGTCACATCCAAAGTTGGTTCGAGCGTTGAAGAACTGAGATTACTCTAGTCATGTCATCACCGTTATGCGTTCTGTCTCAAAATGAGAACCTCTCCGTGTCTTTCTGCGGTTCTGGCTTTCTAGCTACATACCAGCTCGGTGCTGCGCAGAGTCTTTTGGATAACGCGGCCTGGATCCTGCAAGGAGCTCCGAGGGTCTACGGCGCGTCTGCTGGTTCTCTCGTCGCTGCAGCGGTCGTCTGTGGCTCCAATCTAGGTAATCTGAGATCTTTCTATTCATAACGTTCATTGATTGACTAAGACTTAGTGTTTTACTCACTGTAAAGGTCGTAGGTTCAAATCCCACCTCAACAGGACCAGATTGGTACTGGGTTTACAGTTTTTTTCAACTGCTTACACACCAAATCTTAACTTGTCACACAATTTCTGAAAACTGACACTCAAAAACACCGGAACCACACATAAAACCATACACTAATTCTCAGCCTTTGACTCAAAGTTTTGTAAGCAGTTGAAAAAAAAACGGTAATGTGCTGTAAGTCACTAAAATAATAATGACTTATAATTGAGTCAGTAGCAGGGGCGGACTTACCCATTAGGCAAAGGTAGGCGACCACCTTGGGCCCCCAAAAGCCATCCTTTTTTTTGTGTATCCTGCTTGAAGGAGATGAAAATATTATGCATCTGAAGTTGTAATTAAATATTGAGAAACAGTGTGTATTATATGTTTATAATTGTTTTAAATGCCGCTTACTCATTTATGAGAAGGAACCAAGTAGAGGACACATACGCAGTTACTTTTTTGGTTGATATAATCCTTAGGTGTGTAAATGTATAATTGCCTTTTCATTATTTTTTTCAGTTTTATTTAAATTTGTAGTTAAAATAACTAAAAATAAATGTATTTTAAAGTTTAGAATTAGACAGCCTTTGCACACAGGCTTACGCTGGTAACTCATCAGTGGACTTTCCTTGTCAATATAAGCTATATTTTTTTCACACTTTCTCATTCTATATTTCTGACGTTCCAAAAGCGCCTCCTACTGGCAGAGAATTAATGTTCATTTTCAATAATCCAGTCTGCATTTTTGTTCAGACCAATGCGAAAATCCACACATATAACCCCGTTTTAAATTAATATAATAATTTATACTTCTGGCTCACCCCTGGTTTAAACGCTCAATTGTGAGGTTTATCATTTTATAATTGATATTGTTTTTGTGAAAACCTGTATCTCAACTGTAAATCAGTTGCTATTTCGTGGTCTACAACATAAAAGAAAGCCATTATAACATGTACATGAAAAATGTAGAAACATTGGACACAACTATGGGGCACCATTGTGCAGCAGCAAGCATCACAACAAAAAAGGAACCTCAAGGTTGATCTAGAAAAATGTATGCAAATGTATAGGGCCCCATTCCTATATTTTGCCTGGGGCCCCCAATTCACTAAATCCGCCTCTGGTCAGTAGTCATTAAATCCACCCTTTCTTCTCACAGGACGTGTTCGAGACCAGCTTTTGGAGTTTGCACGATTTACTAAACAGCATCCTCTCGGTCTTCTCAGTCCCACGGTGGATATTTTCCGGTGGCTGGAGGTCACACTGCAGCGCTGTCTGCCTGATAACGCACACACTCTGGCCAGCGGCCGTCTGCACATCTCCATGACTCGCATCTCTGATGGAAAAAATGTCATCGTGTCAGAATTTAATTCCAGCGATGAGCTTATTAAAGTAAGCATTATGATGTTCATTCAGAGTAACATTTTATAATACACATACAGTTGCAAAGCACTAATAAATCATTTGCAATCTGTTACAGTTCATTCTGTAGTCTCTGCATTGTTAATACATATGTACAAACAGTTATATTATTGTTTAATTAGCTCATATGCAAAGAGTCAGATGTTTTATTATCCCTTGTTAACAACTTGTTAACCATACCAAACTGATGTACAGTATTTAAAAACCAGTAGAAAAGGAGCTGTTAATGATTCATTAGAAGTAAATAGTGCTCACTTTAGATTAGTTCATGGAACATAGTAAAATAAAAACCCTTTATTAAAGAATGCTCATTTTTAAACAACAAGAAGATCAACTTTATCAGTTTGAATTAAAAGGCATCAAAACTCTAGAAAGCAGAAGCAAGATAGTGCACATAGTAATATTTATGAAATCAGGGTTTCTTAGAAAATTCTGAACACATGCAGCCCTTCCTTTCAAGAAAGAACTAAATAAAAT